AAACAAATAGATAATCAAATATTTTAAACAATCCGCAATTTCTTGAAGAGAATACGTTGATCAAACAAAATTATCATGAGACTTTAATTGCATTTATGAATAATTCTACTTTTTAACAAGAAAATTCTGTGGGGTTTTAACGATTTCAAGTTAAAAAAAAAAGGTTTTGTTTCTTAATTGGCCCCATTCTATTTAAGTATGAATTAAGTCTAATAAGGAAGTACATTATCTCGGTTTTTTGGTTTCGGAACTCTCATTTATTTTAAATTCCATTTTTATAATCTTTACTTTCCCAATTGTCGCTATAATTTACTTTTTGGTAACGCTTTAAAAATGCATATTATTACTTCCTAATTTGAGAGTTTCGAGTAACATCTACTAGTTATATTAAGTAGATTTTCAATACACTTTAAAAATTTTTTTTGTGCTTTTTTGTTATAAAAATCAAATCACTTTCATCTATATAATCCTTTAACCAAAACAATATTTTTTTCCCCAGATTTTTTTGGTTTTTTTTTTTCGGTTTTCTCGATTTTTTTTTTTATTTTTTTTTTAAAAAAAATTAATTTTTACTTTATTCTGAAGTTTTTTTACGAGCAATAAAAAAAACTCCCCTCTTGTAAAAAAAAATTTATAAATAAAAAGTTCATAACATGACTGAGAGATTTCGAGGAGTACCGGGCTTATTCATGCCCACAAATAGTATAGTAGAAGACTCGAGCGGTTATAATGACAATATCTTTGAAGGCAAGGCTGACCAAATGCTTAAGGTGTGCGAATACTTGGAAAAAAAAGGGTTCATACCTCAAGAACTCGTCCGTCACGAAGTTTCGTGGTTTTATGGGTAAGAGTTATTAACTCCATCTCGGGTTAATGTAGCAATATTTAACAAATATTTAAAAACGTGAAAATTGATCTTATGAAAAAAGATTAAATTTTCCGATATATATATATATATATAAATATTTATTTAATTATTGTCACAAAAACACGTAGTTGATTTATTTCATCCTATATCTATAATCTCTCTAAACTCAATATGTATTACCTAATTTGCTCACATGACTTGACGTAAAATAGAAATCTTGGTATCGATGACATGTACTTCAGTTTGGAAACCGTTGATACCATTGCCAACCATATTTTGGCCCTTTATGGGGCAAAGATTTTTTCGTATACAAAAAATAACGAACGTGAGCTTGATATTAATCTAGAAAGGGAAACCGATGATGGCGCAGTATATATACACACATCTCGTCCTGGTGTTTCTCAATTGCAGGGTCCTCAGCACGAAAAAAGGTATCTATCATGATTACGTTTTTGACCTCAAAATGATTGTATGATCCGGTCTAATACTTGAAAATTATCGTAGAATCGATTCTCGATATTTAGATGTTAGTAATACTACCTCGGCTTATCGTTTGGAATCCTATCGTTCTCATGGAAATGTTTCACCTTCTGTGAACACACAACTTCGTTGCTACTTTGTTGCCAAATGTGACTTTGTGAAACCAAATCCTTCCACCGCGGAAGAAACTGATATTCTTCTTGTGGGTGATAAGACATTTTTAGAAAAGGCTACCGAAAATACTTTAGAGATTTATCAAAACGTTGTGAAAGCTGTTCTTAACAGAACCGGCCCTGTGATCGAAATGTTTGAGGTGGAAGGGAGTCGAGAAAGGCGTCTTGTCATTGGTTACCGACAACGCAGTACACAATCATTCTTCTCTGCAATGTCTGATCTTTACCATTTTTATGAACTGTATTCCACTAGGAAATACGTCGGTTAGTATCATACATATCAACTTTTAATTTTTAAAAATTTAAAGTTTTTTTCGCACGTTGACAATTTTTTTGTTAATATTTTCAATCTAGAACAATTTTCGAATGGTGTTACCGTGATGAGCCTTTATCTTAATCCACTTCCAAATTCAAAATCCTCTCCAATTGAGCATTCGATCCATCAAGTAATCAAGGAGGCTTCACTCATATATTGTTTACCTACTACTCCATTCCAGCAATTTTTCCAAACTGGAAAATTGTCTGTTCAAGAAACAATTTATGGTTATGTTGGTTGGATCTTTGCTCAACATTTCCTTAATCGTTTGGGTAATGAATATGTTAGTCTTGTAAATATTTTAGATCAAAACGATCCCGTTCATGCGGAAGTCCTTAACAAAATCAAAAAGAGATTACGTTCAGATGCTTTCACACGGGAATACATTTTGGATATTATAAAAATGTATCCAGACTTGATTCACTTATTGTATATCAACTTTGCATTGACGCATTATGTTAATCCACGTGCTGCTGCTCTTGAGTAAGTTAAAATTATATATTTTTATTTTAGACCCTTTAATTGCGCTTTATTGAATTTCGATTTATGATTTCTTTTTCTTTTCTTTACTTTTTTTTTTAAAAAAAAAAGACCAACGTTATCATTTCAACGTATTCAAACTGATAATGTGCTTAATGATGATGAACTTTTGGATAAAATCAAAAAAACAACATCAAATGTTCACGAATTCATTGTATTTGAATCCTTCTTGATTTTCAACAAACATGTTCTTAAGACCAATTTTTATCAACCAACCAAAGTAGCATTATCCTTCCGTCTTAATCCCGCTTTCTTGCCATCAATTGAATATCCAACCAAACTTTATGGTATGTTCATCGTTATTGGTTCCGAATTCCGAGGTTTCCATTTGAGATTCCGTGATGTCGCTCGTGGTGGTATTCGTATCATCCGTTCTAGAAACAAGGAGTCTTACAGTATAAATTTAAGATCTCTATTTGATGAAAATTATGCATTGGCTGCCACTCAACAAAGAAAGAATAAGGATATCCCTGAAGGTGGTTCAAAGGGTACCATTTTATTGGACATCTCACAACAAGACAAGGATCGTGTTGCATTTGAAAAGTATGTTGACAGTATGCTCGATCTTTTAATCACTGGAAATTCTCCTGGTATTAAAGAGGTGAAGTATTAAAATGATTAAATTATAAGACTTCTTTGATGAACTTTTATTCTTGATGAAAATTTCTTATAAAAGTATTACCTTCATTTTTTTTAAATAGAAGATTGTTGACTTGTACAATAAACCTGAAATTTTATTCTTTGGTCCAGATGAAGGAACTGCAAATTTCGTCGATTGGGCTAGTGCACATGCTCGTATTCGAGGAGCTTCATTCTGGAAAGCTTTCACAACTGGCAAAAGTCAATCAATGGGAGGGATTCCTCATGATCTTTATGGTATGACAACCCGTTCAGTACATCAATATGTACTTGGAATTTACAGAAAACTTGGCCTCAAAGAATCAAAGATTACGAAATTTCAAACTGGTGGACCTGATGGTGATTTGGGTAGTAATGAAATTAAGATTTCAAAAGATCGTACAGTCGGTATGTACATTATGTGTGAATAAATCAAGTTTGAAAATATTATGAATATTTAATTTAAATTTTCTATTGTGCCTTAGCCATTGTCGATGGTAGCGGTGTACTATGTGACCCTGAAGGTATCGATAGAAGTGAATTAAAACGATTGGCCAATAAACGTTTAACGATTTCGGACTTCGATGATACTAGATTATCTCCTAACGGATTTAAGATTTTGGTAGAACAACAAAACATCAAATTACCAAGTATGTTAAATAATTAAATTTGTTAATATTTTAATTAATTTGGAAAATCTATTAATCTAAATCAAAAAAAAAATTATTTATAGACGGTCAAGTTGTCGAGGATGGTTTAGTTTTCCGTAATAATTTCCATACAACGCATCTTGTTTCTTCAGATCTCTTTGTTCCATGTGGTGGTAGACCAGAGGCTGTTGACCTTAACAATGTACATTTGCTTCTTGATAAAAATGGTAAATCAAGATTCAAGTATATCGTGGAAGGTGCAAATCTTTTCTTCACACAAGAAGCTCGTATCAGGTTAGAACAATCTGGTGCTATAATATTCAAGGATGCATCGGCCAATAAAGGTGGTGTAACGTCATCATCATTGGAAGTTTTAGCAGCTCTCGCATTGACAGATGATGAATTTGCAAAGAATATGCAAGTTAAAGATAATAACATTCCAGCATTCTATAGTGAATATATCAAAGAAGTTCACAGAGTTATCGAAAAGAATGCGGAATTAGAATTTGAATGCATTTGGAGGGAACATCGAAGAACGAACAAGCCACGATCGATCATTTCTGATGAACTCAGTCTTGCCATTGTAGATCTAAATGAAAATATGCAAACATCAAGTCTATGGTCAAATGTTCCATTAAGGAAGACAGTATTAAGAGATGCATTCCCACAATTACTTCTCGATAGGTTAGGATTAGATACTTTATTAGAAAGAGTACCTGAACCATATGTGAAAGCTATATTTGGATCTTATTTGGCTAGTAGATTTGTGTATAAGTACGGAACAAACCCATCACAATTTGCTTTCTTTGAATTTATGAATCCTTTCTTTTCAAAAATCAGTGATCAATATAGCTGACTGAACAATAATGAAGAAATTAACGAAGCAAATGAAAATGAAAGTACCATTTCGATATATGATTCGAATTATTTTATATTATTATTTAGTAATTTTATCGTTTTAATATCTTTTTTGAGTCATGGATTATTTGATTTCTCGACAGAATAATAACTCTTAAGAACGCACTGTAAAATTAATTTATTTCTCGTTTTGTATTATTTAATTCATCCTTTATAGAATAGCCATGTAACATTAATTAAATTTTTTGATATTTGTAATATTGAACTTTTTTTTTTTGTTTGTTCCTTATATATTTTTATTATTATTATTTATATACATTATCATTATTTGTATTCAATATAATTTGCTTTTCTTAATACTTCTTCCAAAATACAAGATAGAGAACAAAATTTAATAAAGAAAAAAAATAATCTTTTTTTTTTTTGAATATTGTTTAATTGCCAAATAATCTCAATTTTTTTTTTTTTTTAGCAAGGTTGGGTTTGATTTTATTTTTTTAAATTTCTTTATTATTATTATTCTTATTATATTTTTTTTTTGTTTGCTTGATGATTGATATATCTTCTCCATTTTCAGCAGATGATTCGTTTGATCTAAAGATATTTTCGGGTTTCTCGGAAAATAATTGATATCCTTTACGAGTAGGATAATTCTTTGAAGTATTACATTCAATACATAAAACTTGATAACATGGTTCGGGACGTGCTATGATTAAACTTGATTAAGAATGATTAAATGTATTAAGATAAGCAAGTTATTAGACTTACATTTAATTCTAACGCGAGAAGTTACTCCAGGTAATAGAATGGATTCACATCTTTTACACATGGTACGTTTTATCGAAGGATCTATACGCAAAACTTGTTTTTTACCAATTGTTTTCATGGTATTTACATAAAATCTACCTAATGAAGCCAAATTATTTGTATATGAATTAGAAGAGTTAGTTGTTAATTTTGTTTTACTTTTTGTAGAAAGCACTTGTCGTTCTTGTTGCAATGAGGAAGATTGAGTCAGAGAAAGTTGTTGAGTTGAAGTTGAATTTGAATTGTAATTTGAAGGTGGATTTATATTTGTAATCGTTGTCATTAATGTTGCTGCTTGATAAAGAAAATTCATACGCTGATATATTTCCCTATGCTGCACTAAACGTGGTTCTTTCTTTTTTCCCATTCTAACAAACAATTTTTAAATTTGTTAAAACAATCACACATTGATATTAATATATATTTGTAGGAATTAAATCATTGGATCGATCAGGAATTATTAATTATTTTCTGTTATCCAAGAAAACATAGCAAAGGATCGGCGTACCAAAATGGGGATGCGCATGTGATTTTTATTTATGTTTTTTAATACAAAAACCATGTGTTCAAAATTTTATGACTGAATCAATAAAAGCTTTTTTGCCATTCAAAATTTATCACATTTTTATTAAATAATAGAGTAGGAAAATTTACTTAGCAATACCAACGATAGGTTTCTTTCTCTCTGCTTGATATGGAACCGTCCCTTTTTTGGAATGTCTTCGCAAATTTTCTTCTTTCTGTCGTTGAGATTGTAACATTATACGCTTTGTATTCTGAGCGTTTTTAATTGCCTTTGGAACATTACGATGTCTTTATAAAATTTATATATTAAATATGATTATTTAATGTGTATTTATTATAAAATGAATGGAGAAAATCGCTTAAAAAAACTTACTTTGCAATTCTTTTAATCTCTGGAAGGTATTTATATCGTTCAATAAGTTTCTCTTGATATTCCAAATGAGCACGTTCTCTATAGTCCTTCTGAAAATCATTATAAACGATTTTAACAAAAATTTTTGATTAAAATAAATTTCAAATAAATATAATTTCGTTACCGGTCCAAGTTTCTCGGATGCTTTTGCTTTCCATAGTCGGATACTACCATCATCTGAACCAGAAAGAACATATTTCGAATCCATGCTAAATTTAACACAAAAAATACGCTGCATTCGTTTGGTATGATATATATCTCGACTATGTCCTTGACGTGATGAATAAATCCTCAATGATCGATCATAAGCTCCAGTGACTATTTCTTCACCTGTTGGCGAATAATCTAAATCTAATCTGTTTAAAAATTTTTCATTATTAATTCATGATGAATAATAAAAATAAAATAAAATAAAAATCTAGTAATTATTTACACTGCAGATACATGATCTTTGAGGACATTTAATGCACAATCCATTTTGCGCATATCAAACGTGTAACAGTTATGATCCTCATTTGCCTAAAATTCATGATAAAATGTATTTGATTTGCTTTGTTATTAAGATATATGAAGAAAAAAAAAAAAAAAAACATTGAAAATACCGCTGTAAAGTTGAATGCCTCCATCGGATTCCATGCTATAGCATTTGTTCTCATCTATAAATATTTGATATATAGATTAGTTTCATTCATATTCATGATCAAAATATAGACATTAATTTTAATTTGAAATAACCTGCAAAACCAATTTTGTCAGTGGAGAATTCATTCTAAGGTCATAAAGAATAATGGTTCTGTCTGTTCCACAACTACCCAGAACGTTTGTCTCTATTTGATTAAATCGAACAGTATTAATTGTATCTGCTCCCCAACTCAAAGTTTTGATCGGGTCCGATCTATAAAATTATTTTCAAAATAGTTTATAAATTGTGAAAATGCGACGTTAATTCTTATCTGAAATTCTTCGTTTACCTATTTTCATCCCAAATGTCAACTTGTGATCCAGAAGTGGCAAAAATTGGATCATTACGATGATGATCAATCGCACTATATAAAGAAAAAATAAAATACGTATCTTTCAATTAAAGCAATGCAATCCATTTCAAACTGATAAGACTTACCTGAAAGCAAATTTTCCAATGTAAGTACTTAATGGCTAATATGAAAAATAAAAATAAATAATAAATAAATTCGTTACAATATTATTAAAAAGTTGAATGAGTAAATATTACATCTTGGCCCGATTGATCAGGACTCCAAATCTTCACGGTTTTATCGGTTCCACAAGAAAGGTATAAATTACCCTTTGTCGGACTACAACAGACACCTTTAACAATGCTTTTATGTCCGACAACCTTCCATATTGTTTCTCGATTTGACAAATCCCATATCCTCAATTCTAATTTAAGAATTTTCTTTGGTAAGCTTATAATTAAGAAAGTTTAAACGGATTTGATTGAAAGTACCTCCATCACCACTTCCTGTCATAATGGTGGTTAACTTTTTAGGGTGCTTGGCCATACAATAAACGCCATCAGAATGACCAGATAAGGCACCAACGAATGGCTTTGCAAACATTCGTTCCAACTTTACGGCATTAAGCGCTCTGGTGTATTCACGAGCCTTTTCCAATGGGTGTAATTTGGGATCATAATTCCGTTTAATTTTGTGAATATCTTGAGGCGTTTCACGTGTATACTCTGAGGCGGCTCGAGAAAGAACTTTTACTTTCTACAAATAATTACAATAATTACAAATCAACAATTACTTTTTTTGATTAAAATTTGATTTTTACATAAAATTCCTATACCATTGTGAAATTTGATCTGAATGACTGAATGTCGGATTTTGGAATCCGATAATTCGGGAGATTATAAATGATTTCTAAATTTAGTAATAAAATAATGAGTGAGAAGCATTTTCGGAAAATTTTCATCTCTGGCTAATCAATTGGAATTCGGAAAAAAATTTTGTTCGGCCGGAACTCGTGTATAAAGTCGTGTACTTTTGAAAGTAAACCAACTGCAAGTATTATTATAAAAGTTTTAACTCGAATCGAGAGTAGATTTTACAAGTTTCATATATAGTTTATAAAACGTCTAATAATTCAAAATGGTCAAGGTAAGAACACCAGGACGCGAAGCTTTTCGGTGAGTGATCTATTTTTCAGACGCGGTTAGAACCTCGTTTAAAGAATTTAAGCACATTGAGGCTTATTTCTTTTTTTTTCCTTGGGAACGACAGTACACCTCCAATTACAGCGTTTTTTCCTCTAGCACCAAATAATAACAAGTTGGTTTCTTTCAGTTTAAGTTAGTCAATGTGAAAAATCGCATTTTACTAATAAATATTAATATCTGTTTTTAGTAACACAACAGACAACCCTACTCCGGTCTCGAGTAAACACGATAATGAGAATTTATCATCATATAAAGGTACAACACCTTCAAAAAAAAAAAAAAGTATATTGAAGAAACATGAAACTCCAAGGCGTAATAAGCCAAAATATGCAACCCCTGAAACTCCATTAAAAAGTCACAATGCAACTCCTGAAACCCCACTTAAAAGTCGTCAAGCGAATGATGTTAAAATAAAAAAGGTGGTTCTATCCGTAAGTGATGATGATGATGACGATGATGATGACGATGACGATGATTTGAAGAGTATTCCCGATGTAAGTTAAATTATCAATATTTAAAATATTTAGTTCGACAATTTTTCTCATGATCATTTTATTAGGTCATCGAAGACGATGAGGATGACGATCTTTTATCAAAAACAGATTTTAGTTGTATTCAAGAAATAAGTATTCAAGAAGAAGAAAGGTTTGAGTATTATTATAAAGATATCTTTCGTTCATAATATCAAAGAAGAAATAAATTTAATATATGAATATGAAACCTGTAATAGGTCTGAAAATTTGCGTCGAAGCAAGCGTTCTCGACGCGTTGTTTCCCAAGTAGGATTTGTTTCAACAGTTGACGCTGTTCCAATGAAAGGTGATATTCCATTGGTGGACGCGTCATCATCACGTACAAAATTTACAAAAGTCAATGGTACCGTGGAACAATCCTATCAAAATTCGTTATCCTCACTACTTCGAGAAAAAAAATTACGAGAAAAAGCAGGTTATAATATTAATGCTATGGAAAAAATACTAAAAAAAGATGTAATTGTTATTTTTCTCATGAATACCATATATTGAGAATTATTACTTAATTTATATTATTTTTTTTCTTTAGATGTTAGACGAAATGGAAGACCCTTATGAAAGTTATGATCGATTGGGAATATCTGCTTCTATCTTGAATGAAGATTTAAAGTGCGAACAGTTACAGCAGGTTTGTTACATGGAACTATGTATTGAAAATGGATCATCATAACTATCTTTTTAATCCTGGTATAAAATTTTTTTTGATACTTTAGATATTAGAAGATGATGTTGCACATGATCACAATTACCAAATAGAGTTCTTCGAAACCTTGCATTCGGTAAATTCTGATAAAGTGAATTTTTTTTCAAATTTTTTTTCAAATTTTTTTTAAATTTGTTTTCAAATTTTTTTTTTATGTTTGAATTTTATTATGATAGAATCCAAAAATTTCTAATTTGCGACCATTAATTCCCGCAATTGATGATTTGACATTTGATTTATTATTAAGAGTGTCCTCTGGTACATAATTAAAAATATTTATTTATTTATTTATACTTAATTTGCTCTTATACTGATCATATTATCATTTACAGACAAGAAAAAGCTCAAAGATATTCTTTGTAGCGATTGGATTGCTCATCGATATGAAATTGACTGGCAGGTGCCTGTTGAGGTTATGATTTGGCTTCTTCATTTAGGTGAATATTCTCTTTCGTGTTATGAATTTATCTCTTCAAGGCTTTTTTTATACATAACCTTTTGTTTCAGTAAGCTATGAGGAAGACGAAATAATTTCAGAAGCATCTTTTAATACATTAAAAAATATTGCAGAAATTAGAGTAATTATAAATATCATAATGTTGATTTTATTTTTCTCCGTTATTTATTCATCTATTTCTTTTAAATAATGTAGAAAGGCCTGAATGATGATGATGAAAATGCACGTGTTCCTTTTTTGGAGGTATACAATATATTAGCCATGTGGGGTGCTTCGACAAATATGATCAGCTTACGGTGTTGCTTGGAGAAAAACGCTAGGCAGAGTTCTATATGCGGTACTAACTTCGTTTAGTTATTTTGATTAATTATAGAATATTAAATGATAATTTTTTTTAACAAAATAGAGGTTCCCTCTGAATTCCATTACATCAACAATATAAGACTGTTATTGAAAGCGCTTGTGCCCATGATTGACAGCAGGTTACAGAGAAAACATAAGATTTTGTTTACATGAATGAACTTTGTAATAGACAAATTAATTTGTTCTATACTATAGGCTATTCACCTTTTCGAACTCTGAAGAAATAAGGTTATCTATCATCGTTCTTCTTCGAATGCCCTTGGATAAACGACTATTGTCATTGTCCAATGGAGTAGAACAAGTTGTAGATTCGCTTCTAGATATATTCCAAGAAGACCAATGGATAGAACAAGTTAGTATTTAATTCTTTATTGAATTCATTTATATAAATGACATCACTGAACGATATATTATATTTTTCAAAGGCCAAGCTTTTATGTAATGAAATTGAATTTTCATGTGGCTCAATAACTCAGTTCAAATTGGCCATAATAGAAAATTTACCCATTACTGATCGCGGACGTTTATTAAAACATTTCTTGACTATTCGATTCTTATTTGGTTTTGAGTCACCATTGTCTCAGCAAATGAACATAGTAATCATTTTTTATTTTATTTAATATCGTTTCTTTTGTTATGATTTGAAATATTTTTTTTAACTAAGAGAAATCGTTTATTTTGAACAGAATAACGTATCGGAACCTAGGATCTTGAACACCCTTTTGGATCTTCTTCAAGATAATTCAACTATTTTTAAAATTAAAGATGACACCAATTACAATGAATTATATCATCATATTTTGCTGCTTAGTTATGCTTTAGATGACGAATCCTTGTTGAGAAAAGCAGAGGTAATCATTTACATCTTGCTTAATAGTAAATTTATAAATTGTCAATTAAAATTCCAGATTTTCAATGATAGGAAACAGTTAAAGAAATTATCAAAAAATTAAAAATATTACATGGGAAAATAGGTAACATTATCTAATCAATTAAGGCGTGTATAATACATAATATCGTTTTCTAATTATTTTTTTATTTTACCTATGATTAGTGGACATGCGAGCTGCTTTTATGGATCGAACAAAGGTAAATATCATAAAATTTATCGTTCTGTTAATTATTTTTTTTTTTTTATATATTTAACGATTATTCCCCCCCCCCCCCCCCCCAGACCAAAGATCTAATTCAAAGGCTTTACGTGCGACTTTATTACATATCCAGTCGTCAACGCGATAAGAGCCAAACAAGCATATTAGTTTATTCGCCAAAGAAAACTCAAAAAACATTAGCTATGGACTTGGATCATGAGTAAAACTGAAATGTGTTCAATTAAGGTATTCTATATTAAATGTACAGATTAATTTCTTTTGCAATGTTTTACTTATTATTATTATTATTATTTATTTATAGATGGCAATTCGAACAACAAGATTTGACTCTGAATGTAATTATTCTGGTGGTTTTAAAAATCCAATAGATCTTCTTTTAAATTCGCTATTTTCAATTTTTGTAATTTTTTGTGGAATTTCTCCTTCTTCCAATTCTTCTCCCAATTCTTCTAATTTTCCTAATTCTTCAAACTTTTCAAACTTTTTCAATGCTTCAAAATCTTCCTCAATTTCACCTAATTCTAGTTCATATTTCGAGTTTTTATTCAAATTCTTATCTTCTAATTCATAGGTTCTTTTTGAGTTTTTTAAAGTAGTATCCTGGATATATTCGTATTTTCGCTTATTAACCTGTATACTGTTGTCAATGCTCGCTCTTTTTATAGAGCTTCTTGATGATCCATTAGGTTCTTCTATTGTAGTCGGAGCTCTCTTCTAACTCGAAATAATTAGGGTTAGATTAAAAAGACGATAAATTTGGAAACAAAACTATATATGTTATATTACAAATCAAATATATAGTAACATATTAATATCATCTTACCTTATTACCTTTTTTGGAACGTCCAAAAGACAATCGTCCGTTTCTTACTTCAGGTGTTGCAAAAGATAGATAACTTGGCAAATACTCCACATTAAATTTACTTTTTAATATATAAAACATTTTAGTTAATTTATAAAATGGTAAATTGTTATGTTATAAGACTTACGGTTTTCCAACTTCAAGTTCATCGTAAAATGCAATCCATTGAGATTCCCCAAGGGCTCTAGAACGTTCTCTTTCCAATTTTTCACGCAAAGCTTTTTCTTGCTGCCTTTGCATAAACTATTTAAAGAAAAATGGCATTAGGTCGCTCAACAAAATGATCATATACTTGATTAAGAATATTATATATATATATATAACCTTAAGTTCTAAAATGTTTTCCGAAAGCTTTGGTTTTCTGTCAGTTTTTAACTCGAAATGCTCCATGTTTATTAAACTATTGTTTCTCGTGGTAGAGACGTGTATTTTATGTACAAATACAAAATTTATCAATTTTTTAGTCACGAGATTAATTATCTAATCGATCAAATTTATTAATTTAGCGGTTTAACAAAAAAAATGAAAAATGAAAAATGTATTAATGAATCAACATCTATTAAATTTAGAAAAAAGAAATATAGATATAGATATTATATATTATATATTATATATAATGAACTTCAAGTGTAATTGTCCTTTGATTAATAATATTAAAGGAATTTTTTTTTTTTTGTATTATGTTTTTATAAATTTTGAAGAAATAATTTGATTTAAAATAATCGTTATCCACGAGTAAATTTTCCATATATATGAAGAATGAATACAGAACCAATAAAAGAAAGTGCAAGGACAATGACTACAACAGGATCTCTATAAAATAGATCATCATTATTAATTAATATAATTTTTGTAGAAATATCAATTTAAAAAAAGAAATAACTTACACTCTTAAACCTGGAGCATCGTCGGTGTACAATTTCATCATTGTTGATGAACTGCCACCGGATCGAGATACGGAAGCGTTTCCAGTAGGTCGCCTCCTGTAATATTTAAAGATTTATTTTTTTTAGATTATTCTTATTTGGTATGACATTATTTACAGCTAAAACAACTATTTGAACAATGTAAGGTTCGTCGTCTTTACCTAACAGCACCTTTTGGAGATGGAACAACGTCCTATTTAACAATATAAAAAAAAATATAAATAATTGTTCTCCTATTCAACTAATTATCGATAATCGTTCTTTGAAATGAGAATACATAAATACATACTGCCATTTTTATTTTATTTTAGAAAAAGATTTTTAAAGTGAGAGAAAAAAAAATAATGAATGTAGGAAAAGAGAAATGAAAAAAAAAACAAAAATGGGAAAATGCTAATTTATATTTAATTTATGATACGAGGCAAACCATTATTGGTGAGTTTTGTTGATATTTGTATAACGTCAAGTTGATCCTTAACGTGGATTAAAATCATGTGACTGATACATATCGCGTGACCGGAGACTGCTGTGCGAGTTTAGCTTGAATTGATGCCAATATCGAAGCTCTCCAAAGAATTCAGCTGATTGAATCTGACGAATTGATCAACAGAGTGAGCTTCAAGCCAATTACATGCTTTTATTAATACATTTTTCTTGCAGGCTCGTATCTATCTGTAACCAATTCAAGCAACTTTTCGATCATATCAGGGACTAAAAAAGACATATTTTAGAGAAGATGTATTTCACGAAGCAACGGAAATTCGTGCACTTGGGGGAAATTAAGGAATATTAAAGAAGGATAGTCAGTAGACCCTTTCTCAAGTATTAGTTTACGAACGTGCATTTATTTGTAAATATTTAATCTCTACCAATTATATAATGAGGATTAATCTTTAGATAAATAATTTCAACATATTTATTATTTCCCTTTTCAATGTAACTGTTGACAAGCCGTGCTCAATTTCAATTTAACGGAAATGGGTTCAATTCTATTTATCAGTTATAAGCACCATAAAACTGTATCATTATAACTCACTCTCTTGGAATAAATCCAAAGAGTATTTGCAAATCTGCGAATGGCGATCATGTATCTTCCTCAATATCTGAAAATATAGAATTATCATGACTTTCAACATATGTAGCGATAACTGGTTGTTCATTGATAAGATCCGTTTCCAGAGCTCACAAAGGTTTTCACCAGCACGTTCGAAACTCCTATGACCAAGTCCTTCGCCAATCAAACGGTCCCATGGCGAACTTTTCAACTGACTATCCAGGAACCGCCTTTTACTGAAATTACCATTAATAGTGATCAACTTATCAGTAACGGAAGAGACTTACGAGATCCGTTTTATTCCCAATGCCAGATGTGTATACAGAACTATAATAAATGTATGATTTTGTTTTCTTTATCTTCATCAAAGTAGAAAAACTTCTCTCTCTTACAAAAGTTGAGCTGTTTTCCGTGATTCAAAGTAAACAAAACCAAAACCGAAAAATACATTTATTAAACATCGATACTTTTTCGACATTTCATTATAATCAAGGTACGTGATATCACTTACGGCCATCACAGAAAGCTTCGGATTTCCCACTAAATCTCATGACTACGATAAGAACATTAATAAAATTTAATCACTCCAACGAAGGAAAAGTGGTTAAACTCCTACGTGGAAGGGTAGTTGCACTCTCATGAAGGAAGTTTGTAGGTAACCTCCTTTCACAGAACAAGTTTCTTTGTTTGTCATAAAGTTAGGATTATAACCGGTTCCCCTTCCAAAACCAGTAGTCATTTAAAAAGAAGCCTTCCTTCACAAAAAAAGTGTGAGGGGAAGGGAAGGGTGGTTGCACCTCCCATGAAAAGAAGGGTGGTTGTACTCCCATGAAGGAAGGGTGATTGCACTCCCACATATAAGGGTGTTTACACTTTCATGAAGTTAGGTGTATGTAACCTCCCTTCACTCACGGAACAGGTTTTTTAAGGTTAAAATACATAACCGTTTCAACCTTTAATCAAACAAACCCCACTTTCATAAGAAAGGGTAAGGGGACGCTTCCAGAGTTCCGTTGTAATAACACTTACAAAGCAAAATAATTTACAGAAGGATTGTTATAATTTACCTTTTTCCATTGTCAAAAAACTTCCGTTTCGATAGAAGGAAATAAAATTATCAACGTGAAAGTTAAGAAAAATATCAGCGTGACGCGTTATATATCACATGATACCGGAAAATAAATCCGACCGTGATGCCGGCCAAGGAATCACGTGAATTTTAAAGTTGGGATGGGAGTTGAAAATGTTAATATAAATTTTCCTCAGATCTCTGTTTCTCAGTAATTTTGAAATAATTTTTTTTGAATAAAGTATTAATTTGATCTATCGCTAAAATAACGAACCCGATATGAGTTCATAATAAAAAATCATTTTATCGATTGCATCATGTGTAAATACATGTGATTATAGTCTGACAATGATTATCATAGATAGTATATTTGATTTCAAATCTTCAAAATTTTTCTTATAAATATAAGGTTTATAGGTTCAATAACTGTGCATTCGATAACTTAAATTTTATTTCTGCTTGATAACAAACACAAATATGCCATCATTTATTGGTTCAATAGATCAAGGAACAACATCTTCCCGATTTTTGATATTCGATTCAAAAGGCAATTTGGTAACTTATCATCAAGTTGAGTTTCCTCAATACTATCCTAATCCTGGGTAAGTTATTAGAACAAATTATAAAGACAATATTCTCCTCCAGTTAGCGAAAATAACCTCATTAGAGGATAATAATTAAGTGTCTAATGGATGAACGCTCATGTATATTTTTAATTTTAATTAATTAATTAATTATTTTTTTGGTGTGAAAGTTGGATTGAACATGATCCTACTGATCTTCTCGAAACGGTTTATAAATGTATTGAAGAAGCTCTAAAAAAATTTGTGGGAATGGGTAATGCCATTACAGATATTAAAGCCATCGGTATTACAAATCAGAGAGAGACCACTCTTGTTTGGGACAAGCAAACTGGGAAACCTCTATGCAATGCTATTGTATGGTGTGACGTTCGTACACATGATTTAGTGCATGAATTAACTGCTAAATCTGAGCTAGGAGCTAATGCATTAAAGGAAGTTTGTGGACTTCCTCTTTCCACCTATTTCTCTGCTGTTAAACTCAAGTGGCTTCTTGAAAATGTGCCCGCGGTTAAAGAAGCTCATGAAAATGATACCATATTAATGGGGAATGTCGATACTTGGCTAATATATGTAAGCTTGTCACCATGATAGATTCCCCAGTTTGTGTTCTTTTAACATTATTAAATCAATTTTTGTTCTGACTATATAGAATTTAACGGGTGGAATTAATGGTGGCATGTTTCTCACAGATGCAACAAATGCTTCTAGAACCATGTTAATGGATATCAAGAAATTACAATGGAGTGAAAAATCACTTAAGTTTTTTGGAATTAAGAAATGTGCACTCCCACAAATATATTCTTCTTCGGAGAAATATGGTGACATCAAAATAACCGATTTAGCGGGAATTCCAATTACTGGTGTCTTAGGTGACCAACAATCTGCCTTGGTAGGACAAAAATGCTTCAATCGAGGAGAAGCTAAAAACACTTATGGAACAGGGTGTTTTATGTTATTTAATACTGGTACTGAACCTGTGATTTCCAAATCTGGTCTACTCACAACCGTAGGTTATAAGTTTGGTAAGGAGGAAACTGTATACGCTCTTGAAGGTTCAATTGCTGTCGCCGGTTCAGCAATCAAATGGGTTCGTGATAATTTGTGTATTATAAACGAAACGCATGAAATTAATAATCTTGCCGCTTCCGTTAAAGACACTGGTGGTGTTTATTTTGTAACGGCCTTTTCTGGTTTGTTCGCTCCTTATTGGCGTGATGATGCACGTGGTTGTATCGTTGGGATCACCCAATACACAAACAAATCTCATATTGCCCGTGCCACTTTAGAAGCAGCTTGCTTCCAAACACGTGCAATTTTGGATGCTATGAATAACGATTCGGGTCATCCTTTAACTTCTCTTAAGGTAGATGGTGGTATGACAAATTCGGATATTTGTATGCAGATTCAAGCTGATATTCTTAGAATTAATGTTGACCGTCCAGCAATGAAAGAGACCACTGCATTAGGTGCAGCTATAGCAGCTGGCCTTGCTGTTGGCATATGGAAATCTTTGAGTGAATTAGATCAAGTTAATTGCAAAGATCGAACAACCTTTTATCCTCAAATGTCTGAAGAAGAAAGTGAACAAAAATACAAAGCTTGGCAAAAAGCTGTTGAAAAAAGTTTGGATTGGGCTTAAATTTTAAAATAATGACTTCAATTATGGTTGCTTAACATGAAATCCATTAACTTGTACAGTTAGCATTGATAATTATTAAATGTTTATTTCTTATTTTTATTTCTTTATATTTATTTATAATGCTCAAAAAAAAAAAAAAAAAAAAAAAGACTTGATTTTCAATTAAAGAATTTTAACCCCAAATATTTAACTTTTCTTTATCTAAGAAAGTGATTATATCGCCCCAAAGTTATATGATTCATACCAGTCATTCCATATCTTACGTAATTGTATCTTTATATCATCGCAATCGAATATATAATCAATGCTTTGAAAGGAAAGTTCGAATAAATTCTTTGGATTTAAAGAAAATGTTGAAGCAGCAATAACATATTCATTGGAAAGATCCGAAAAGAAAACTCCTAATATATTACAAAAATCATTGTTATAGGAAAAAAGATTAACTGTTTTTCTAAAACAATCATATAATTCAGAAAGTTTAAATATTACCTTTATCATCAGTCTTTATAGCCAACAATAAGTGGAAAAAAAATTTTTTGATTTAATAATGAAGATGCTTTTTTGTTTTAAAAAAAAAGTCAATGTATTACTTACGCAAATACAACATGGATACTTCATTAATATAAAATCTCGAAGATGATGCTCTTGATAATTTTTAACCGTATTGCATAGCACATTTGAAGTCATACACATTTCTATTGGAACATTCTTTGCATAGATGAAATCCTTTGACTCCGGGTCAAGATGAGTAGCATGACCAAGGCGATCGGGAGGAATCGTAAGCATCGAAGCATGTTCTGGAATGTTTGCTTCGACCTTTTTTTTTATTTTAGCGTAATCTCGTAAGTTTAAGCGGTAATTGATACTAAAAGTCGCAACAAGTTTTGATATAATTCACCTCGCCAAAATGTAATGTAACTTTCAATCCATGTTCCTTCGCTCGAATGAAAGCAGGTTTGACATTGTCTATATGCCCTTTCTGTTATCAATGAATGAAATTTTTGAGAAAAATAAAATACATTGAATTGAGATTAAAAGACGACTTACACTAGTATCGCCACAAAGATCAACACCTACGATGCCTTTATTTTTATATCTAATAGCCAAATTCACAGTTTCCATAGCTTCCTCCAAAGTATTTCGACGATCTACACTTAGTATTAACTTAACAATAATTCCATGTTCTGAATATGAAAATTTCTGAATGACAGACGTAACGACACATACGTAAGATTCTTTGGTCATCCCTTTATTAAATTTAAATCACGCGTTTTTTATTAGAACGGTGAATCACGTGAGCAAGATGATTTATAGTAGCATTACCATTTTTATCATTTCGGGGTGTTGTCCTTAATTCTAGATATTTAACTCCGTCTTTTTTAAAGTCTTGTATTACAGATTCGGTAATAAAACCAATTGATTCTTCATCATCGGTTAGTTGGTAAACGAAATTGAATATAGGAAAAAAACTATTGGAAAAGAGAAAGTTTTCTTTTTAATTAAAATAATAATAAATTAAACAATAAGTTTTAATCAAATTTTCAATTTTCGTACTCATCAATTATATCTAATTTTTTTTTCGGTATTATGAATTGTGCCAAATGAGGTTTCTTTTCTTTTTTTCGTTCTACTAATTGTTGGAGTGTTTCCGGACTTATAGAACCATTAATATGTGCATGCACTTCCTATATATTGAGAAAATTGTTGATATAATTTCAAATTCTTCTCTACATAATTAATACATAAAAAATTAGTTTACAATTTTTGGCATGTCTATACAATATTTTTCTAAACTTTTGAGGCTTCCATATTGAGTTAAAATAAATGTAGTTTCCATCATTTTTTATAATGATGAAAAACGCGTGGCGTGCATCTTATATAAGATGCAGATGTTGATCCAATCCGTAGTAAACATAATCGAATATTTAACTATTTTAACATTTCAATTTACTGTATATCAAAAAATCATGTCTTCGAGTTCTCCTAATCCGCCTTTTGAAACAGTTCGAGGTTGGAGCGTAATGAACGTTAGGTTGTTTTTAGAATCAAAAAAAGAGGAGTTTTCTCTAAATGACGCTGAAATTGGGGAATTCGAGAAAAATGGTATCAACGGTAATGCGTTCCTTATGTATACCGTAAAAGACCTTTTACAAGATGGTTTAAGAAGAGGACCTGCCGTGAACATTGTAGCACTTATTGAGGAGTTGAACAACAAAAGTAAGTTCTATCAGTAAGATAGTTTTTTCGTCGCATGCTTTATATTTGATTTGACTTTATAGCCGTTGCTTCATTCTCTTCTGCGCTATATATTTACGTGTTATTCTTCCCTGATTACCATCTAATACCGTATTCACATTATGGTAACACTCCCTTTCTCGCCATAATTTTATTTTTCTTTAAAACGATTCATTATTAACATTTTACATTGTGTCATGTACTGTACGCTCGCATCAGCAATTAGTGTACGCATTTTGAATTTTTCCAATATCATTATTTCCTTTTTAATGGTTTTATCTAATCATCTGATCTAACTTTTAAGCGCCCTCGAGTAGACA